TTTTTTTTTTTTTTTTTTTTTTTTTTAAGTTTTTGCTATTTTTTTTTTATATTTCTTATAAGCTTCTGCTATATCACAATGCTAGTCTTCAATTTTATCTCAATGAAAGATGAACAACTTTTCTGCTACTATTTCGTATGAGATTGGTTGTTTGGGTAGTTTACTAAAATTTTATGGTAATGATAACGAGTTTTCGGGTCATACTGGTTAGCATGGAGAAGTTGGGACAATGAGTGGAGTTTGATCTTCACAACAATAAATTTTCTAGCAAAGTTTTGGTGGGAGTCATTTGTAAACAAAGTTAAATGAGTTGAATATGACAAATGTTGAATTTTCTGGGGAAATTCCTAATGAATTTGGCGCCAATGTTTGTACTCAATTATGTCAATTTTAGTGTTTGTCAATTTTTTCGAAATTTCTATCACTTTTTATATTTTTATTATTATTGTTACTTTTTATGGTTTCTATAACTTTTTAAAGTGACAAATATAGGTTTTGATAATTTTTGTCATTTTTAGAATAATTGTCACCTTTTTAAGAAGGATGCCGTTTAGCGAGGGCCCGCCAATACTGGCTCCCCTGTTTTTGGGCCTGAATTTGGCCCTGGGCATTTAGTGTTTTTGCAAGTATCTGTCAATTTTTTGAAATATTTGTCGCTTTTTATTTTTGTTACTTTTAAAAGTTTTTGCCACTTTTTTGAGTGACAATATAAGTTTTAATTGGCGTTTTTTCGCACCTTTTGTGTATTTGTCACTTTTTTTCGAATTTTTGCCCTTTTTTTGTGTTTCAATTTTTTAATATTGTTCGTCACTTTTTTTTTGTTTTCTATAAATTTTTTGAAAATTTGTCACTTTTCTATTGTTTGTTACTTTATATATATTTTATCACTTTTGAGTATTTGTCAATTTTTTTTTTTAAATTTTATCACATTTTTTGAGTGCTTATCAATTTTTTTAGATTTCTGTCACTTTTTAACTATTTGTTACTTTTTTCTAAGGTCTTGTTTGATTCTCATTCATCTTAAAATACATTTTTATCTCTTCGTTTCAACCACACATTATTCATTAAAATAATATTACACGTAAATAAAAAAAATCTTATTTTTTAATTACACATTTCCTATCTTTTTTTTTTTTTTTTTTTTTCCATAAAATGAGGTTCAAACACCCTCTAAATTTTGATAACTTTTTGGGTGACAAACATCACTTCTTAATAAAAAATGACATTGTATGTCACTTTTTAATAAAATTGTGACAGTATACAAAGTTTGAATTCAAATTCATATTTAAACATTGAAAATATAAATATAAATATGAATGAAAAAAGTAACATTCTCCGTCTCTTCTTTCAAGAAGGTTGCAATTTATCTCATTTGAATTTTTTTGATGAACTAAAAAGCGATTTCTTTTGGATCAATAAAATATATGTATAAATGTGTGTTACGTAAAACATTAAAAAAATTTACACACTACCTTTTTTTTCTTTTTTTCACTTTCTTGAAATTTTTGTTACTTTTTTGAGTGGCAAAATCATTATATAAAGTGACACTTAATTTTATAAAGTATTTTTCACTTCCAAATAATTTTCATATAATTTTTCAAATTTTTTTTTTAAATTTTAGAGGTATTTTTGTAAGTTGCCCTAAAATAGACAAGTTTGGAAGTTTGGAGGCCCATCTGGATTAGCCCAGTACGATGGGCCTAGGCACTATCATATATATATTTCTTATACTTTGTGATATAGCAGCTTGTGCTGAAAAATGGCGAAGAAGCAAGAAGCAGCAGAAGAGAAATCGAGAGGCCAAAAAAATTCAAAAACAAAAATCAAAATCAAACCGAAGAGAAAAGCCCATAACAATGATGAAGCTGAAGAGCCTGAAGCTACAATCGTGCCGTCTTCGAGCACTGAATC